TGAGTCTGAGGAAGTTAAACTGCAGATGCAGCAAATTGGCCAGGAAGCTCCAGGCAGAACTGGAAGTAGCTGCTGCCCATTAGCAAGGAGGACAAGGTGGAGTCCACACCTCCTCTTGATCCAAGGAAAGTTAGAGCAGAGAGGGGACAGGCACAACACCAGTCAGCTAGACTACTTATGAGGAAGCAACATCACAACTCATGAAGGGTTGCACTGGCATTGCCTACTTAACCTCGCCCTGAGGACTTGAGTGTTGTTGGAGCAGCGTACCCAATTTTTTTTTTTTAATTTGATTTATATGCCGCCCTTCTCCGGAGACTCAGGGCGGCTTACAATGTGCTAAGCAATAGTCTTCATTCTTTTGTATATTTATACAAAGTCAGCTTATTGCCCCCACAACTGGGTCCTCAATTTACCTACCTTAGAAAGGATGGAAGGCTGAGTCAACCTTGAGCCTGGCGAGATTCGAACCTGCAGTAATTGCAGGCAGCTGGTCTTAATAACAGGGTGCTTTAGACCACTGTACTACCAAGGCTCTTTCTGTGCCTTGTGTGCTTGTGCCTTGTATCTTGGTCTGTTCAACTCCTGGACTGCTTTCCTGGACTTCTTGTGTGCCTACTGGACTCAGTTATCCAGTGACTCAGTTGCCCAGTGACTGAGCTTGGAATCTGTACCTCTGCAACAGGGGCAGGGGCGGGCTCCTGGGGCTTCGGCAGGGTTCGGGCGATCCCAGCCAAGGATCGCTGGGGTTAGTGAACCCCCAAATGCCACCCCTGGCTGGCCAAGCCCACCCTGCCCCTCCTACTCCTCCCCTCCCCTCCCAGGAGTCTCCTGGTGGGGTGTTCATCATTCCAGGTAAGTGCAGGGGCCTCTCAGAGGGCAAAAAATGGCCCTATTGGAGGTTCTGGAAGTCCAGAAACAGGCCTCCGGAGCCCAGGGGAAGCTGTTTTCACCCTCCTGTAAGCTCAAGAAAAGCCTCGGAGCCTGGGGAGGGTGAAAAATGCCCCCCCCCCAACCATGGTGCAGGTCGTCAACTAGGCCATGCCCACCATGGCCAGGCCCACCCAGCAACAGGGAAGCAAATCCGCTGCTAAAGGATCTGAAGGGGATCCAAGGACCAGTTTGGGGGATTTGAGTAAACACCTGTAGAACTCTTGCCATATGTGTGTGTCTTGGGAGGAGGAGAGGAGCAGCACAGTTTGGTGCAGTGGTTAAGGTACTGGCCCTTATCCACTCTCTTAGGCCTAAACGACAGCTTGGTGACTTTAAGTTGTTGTAGGGAAAACAGGAGGTCTTAGCATTAAGTACACTGCTTTGACTTATACAAAGTAAAGATGGGATGTAAGCATTAGCCACATTATTTTCAGCAATGTCTGCAAGCTCTCACTTCTTTCATCAGGATGACAAAAGCATGGCTGCAGCATCCTACAGACCACACTTCTTTGGGGGCAAACACACAATATAATGACACTATGGGGGGGAAGCAGGACTTGTGTCACCACAGCACTGCCTAGTACAATCTATCTCTCTTTGAACAAGTATTGCCACCTATTGTGAGTTCATAAATATAGATATAGAAGATAAGATATTGCTACAGAGAGCCCTAGCTTTCTGAAGCCTTGTTCAGCCAACTATTACAACACCACTGAAAAAGGAAATTTATGACAGATCTTTGAAGTTGCAGCTTTGAAGTTCCAGCCATCACAATGTCCTGTGATCATGATTTAGGGGTTTGGCAAGTATTTACAATGTTCACAACATCCCATGGTCACATGATCTCCATTTCTGACCTTCACAGCCAGCTTCTGACAAGCAAGGTGAAGGGAGAAACCAGTAGGAAGTTGCAAGTCACAGACACATTATGTTATGCTTAATCTCAGGTGATTCACATAACAACTGCAACCAGAACTGATGAACTGACTTCATAAATTGGGGGAGGTCATCTGATGTCACTTAGTGACAGAGTTGCCGATTCCAAATGAAGTCAGTAAGTGAGGACTACTTGTATGTTAATAGTATTTTTTAAAACTTTATTGAGGTACAATCTTAGTGGAGAATAAGAACGTGGTATTTGATTTAAGTATAATTATCTGGGAGATAATTTGTATTATTTTTTTGTTTTAATTTAAGTTATTTTTTTCTTTTTGTATTTAGAGTTATATGTATTATGTTTGTATTATTTGTATGCAAAATAAAAAATATCATATATAAATTTAAAAAAATTATCTGGGGGAAAGACAGTGGCTATGGGCAAACATCTTAAATGAAATTAAGGTAATCAAAACTTTCGTAAAATAGGAGCAAGATTTGGCTTAAGCAATGCTTAAAATGGCTATGTAAGAACAAATATGTTTGATTTAAAACATACTGTATATGGAGGACAGATATCATAAAACAAAACAGGACCAGATAGAGAGAGGGGGGAGAGGGGGGAGGGAGAGAGAGAGAGATCATAGGAGACCTAAGGTCAATTATGAAATGACCTCAATACATACTGAGAAGAAAAAGACTGAGAAGGTATGAGAAGAGCTTGTCTGTCAGTTTCCTGATAAGCCAAAGGGTCCTCCTAGGGGAGGGAGAGGTAGTTAGTATATTGAATGATTAACCACTCTGCTACTTTTGTTTCAGGACATGCTTTTCTGACTGGGGGAGAGGGGGTGGCCTGTCAGGCCTGGAATCCATCTTTTGTATTAGGCCTTCAGACCTGCCACATTTACTACTGTGGGAAACTGGGAGGTGGGATTGTATGGAGCATGGGTTATAGTCATAATAACATTCCTTTCCCAAGAAATCAAGGACAACTTGCCCTGCACCTGGGAGACTGGAACTGGGAGGTATCTCCAGTTGGATATGATGTTTGATTGGGCCAAATGATGGACTTGACTTTGTGTACCTCGGCGCAACTATCTCTGACACTCTCTCTTTAAATACTGAGCTGAATAAACGTATTGGTAAAGCAGCCACCACATTTTCCAGACTTACAAAGAGAGTATGGCTTAATAAGAAGCTGACAGAACATACAAAGATCCAGATCTATAGAGCCTGCATCCTGAGCACACTCTTGTACTGCAGCAAGTCTCGGACCCTTTACGCATGGCAGGAGAGAAAGTTGAACACCTTTCATATGCGCTGTCTCTGACAAATTCTTGGCATCACCTGACAGGTCAAAGTTCCAAATAGCGCAGTCTTGGAACGTGCTGGAATTTCTAGCATGTATACACTATTGAAGCAGCGACGTCTACACTGGCTGGGGCGTGTCGTGAGAATGGCTGATGGTCCGATTCGGAAAGATCTCCTGTATGGAGAACTAGTGCAGGGAAAGCACCTCAGAGGGAGACCACAGCTGCGATATAAGGATATCTGCAATAATTTAATTTAATTTAATTAATTCAACTGACTCCGACTCAACCCTTCCAAGACCGAGTGGCTGTGGCTTCCGGCATCCCGATATAGCCAGCTGGTACCATCACTGGCTATTGGGGGTGAGTTATTGGCCCCCATGGATAGGGCTCGCAACTTGGGCGTCCTCCTGGATGCACGGCTGTCTTTAGAAGAGCATATGATGGCCGTGGCCAGGGGGGCTTTTTATCAGGTCCGCCTGATTCGCCAGTTGCGTCCCTTTCTGGATCGGGATTCCTTACGCACAGTCACTCAGGCACTCGTCACTTCCTGCCTGGACTACTGCAATGCTCTCTACATGGGGCTCCCCTTGAGGAGTACCCGGAGGCTCCAACTGGTGCAGAATGCGGCCGCGCGGGGGATTATGGGAGCGAGGGGTCACTCCCATGTGACACCTCTCCTGCGTGAGCTGCATTGGCTTCCAGTGGTCTTCCGGGTGCGCTTCAAGGTGTTGGTTACCACCTTTAAAGCGCTCCATGGCATAGGACCTGGGTACTTGCGGGACCGCCTTCTGCCGCCGATAGCCTCCCACCGTCCAGTACGCTCCCACAGAGAGGGACTCCTCAGGGTGCCGTCGGCCAGGCAATGTCGGCTGGCGACCCCCAGGGGGAGGGACTTCTCTGTGGCAGCCCCCGCCCTCTGGAACGATTTGCCCCCGGAGATAAGAAGGATATCGGATCTTCGGGTCTTTCGCCGAGCCCTGAAAACTCTTCTTTTCCAGCAAGCAGGGCTGGCGTGAACCCCGCCCCCCTTTTTTAGTTTTTAATGGTTATTAATTGTTTAGTTTTAATTTGTTAATGGGTTTTAATTCGTACTGTTTTAATTCGGGCCACAGTATATAATTCTTTTAATTAATTTTAAATTTTGTATTGTTATGTATTTTAGTTTTGGCTGTGCACCGCCCTGAGTCCACTAGGAGAAGGGCGGTATATAAATTGAATAAATAAATAAATAAATATGCTGCCCCTCTCCGAAGACTCAGGGCAGCTCACAATACATTTTTAAAAAATCATTTTAAAAAACATTTAAAAATTAAAAACATTAAAAACTCATTCATGCCAATAGAGACCTAAAGGCCCTGGGAATGGACATTAACAACTGGGAAACCTTGACCTCTAATCGTTCAGCTTGGAGGCTAAAGACGCAACATGGCCTTCTCCAATTTGAAGAGACACTTGTTCGGTAGGCCGAGGCAAAGAGGCAGTCCCGGAACCAGCAAAATCTGGGGGCTGGGCAGGAGACAGAATGTATCTGCCCTCAGTGTGGAAGGGATTGCCACTCTCGAACTGGCCTTTTTAGTCACACTAGATGGTGTTTTAGGACCTCTATCCAGAGCATGATACCATAGCCTCTTGAGACTGAAGGATGTCAATGTAATGCCAATGCAATGTGATGGACTTGTGGGTATTGGGCAAAGACTTGAGCTTTTCTTTGGGTGGGGAAAACCTGGAAACTTTCAGATTTGGGTTTTCCCAGATGTGCCAATATGACATCTCTAATAAAATGTATCTTTGAGGAACCTCAAGCCTCAGAGTCCTGTATCATTGGGGGTGTTACTTGGAACCCTGACATTGTGATGAAAAGAATTTACATACAGTAACTAGTGATGTTGGGAAGCCAGTGGATGCAATGTGATTTAGAACAATCTAATACAGTGAAATTCTACCTTTAGGAAAGTTGGTCTTGGATCTAAGAAACATGGTGGGAACTTCAGGTGAGGATCATGAGAAGATGTATTCCTTGTTGGAAATTATGATTGTATAAAAAGAAATAAGAATCTATCCTTGTGAGATGAATGGTTATGTAAGATCTTGAGGTGACCATTGTAACTCTTGGTTACTTTCAAAGACATTTTAACAAACTCATTGGGGATACAGTATTCCTAATAGTGCTGAATGGATTCCTAAACCCATTCAGGTTATATCTAGCTAATCCCAGACTTGCTAGCTAGAAAAGTGTTTTCTTCACTCTTTCTAAGCAATAATATTCTTGTTGAAATTTGAGATATTTTGCCACTAAGATATTTTGATTTAAAATTAAACTTCCCATAAACAAGTCAGAGAAGACGTTTGTTGTATTTCATTCTGTGAAGGAATGTAGACCTGATCTTGGGAATGGAGTAGGAATAACTCAATATTAAGGGAGAACTTTCAGAAAAGATTACTCAGTTCCAGTCAGTCATACTAAATTGACCATATCAGGAAAATAATTCCACAAGCTAAAAGTAGCTCTTTCATCAAAATTAGCTTTGATAAGAGAATCTTTCAGGCCTAATTATAATGCATCTCCTCTGATTTCTTTTATTCCAGTGAATTAAGAGAGGAAACTATCTGGGCAACTTCCAAATGTTATCTTATTGCTCTAGACCAGGGTCGGTAACCTTAAACACTCAGAGCCATTTGGACCCATTTCCCACAGAAAAGAAAACACCGGGAGCCACAAAAACCTTTTGACATCTAAAATGAAGATAATACTGCATATATCGTTTTTTACCTTTATGCTATGTATAAAAAACTATAGTGTGTTGCATTTATGAAATCAATGAACTGCTACAGAGAAAACAAATTTTTATTTCTGCATGCAACAAAAACATTTTGAACTCTGAAAAAAAAGATGAGTCGAAAACCTCAATAAATCACATGCCGACAGGTGTCTCACATTGGCAGTTGTGACACATATTTTTAAGAGACAGGGAGCTGCAGCAGAGGGATGAAAGAGCCACACATAGCTCCAGAGCTGCAGGTTGCAGACCCCTGCTCTAGACATAGTTTTTACATATTTCCCCCAAGGTCCTCTTCCTTACTGTTTATTGTTCTGGGTTTGACATATATTCCTTCCCACATTTTCCCCAGATTCTACTGGATGGGGAAGAGTAATTCTGAATTCTAGATTCAAGGGGGAATGTTTAGAGTATCTTTTTTAAAAAAATAATTTTTATTAAACAGTTTGTCTTTAAAAACAACACAAAGAACAATTACACATATATAAAAAGAAAACACATCAAGACGTAACGTATTGAACATTACATACCATCAATGATAATTTTACAGCATTCCATATTGACATACATATTTTGCTTTTGTAGTTCTCTATTCGATCATTTCTATTTACTTCTCAATAGTAGAATAATCACATTACTCCAACATATATACATACATTATTTATTTTATTTTATTAAATTTCTATACCGCCCTTCTCCTGAAGGACTCAGGGTGGTGAACAGCCACAAGATGAAACACATAAATACAAAAATTTAAAATAAATTAAAAACAAATTAAATAATTTGGCTGAATTTAAAATACCCCATAATTTAAAACAAATTAAAATTTACATTTAAAAAGGGAGAAGATTTAGGCCAGGCCAGCTTGATGAAATAAAAAAGTCTTAAGCGTGCGACGGAAAGTGCACATTATAATATTCATTTTCCTTATCTACACATTTATATTCGTTTATGTTTACATCTCTTTATTTAATGTTATTCAGTTACTCCAACTTGAGTTTCATCAGTATTAAGTTAAACATTTCTTATTCTGGTTTCTATTTTCGAGCCAATTGTACATTTTATTCTGTATTTCATAATAGTCTGAATCCTCTCTCTCTCTCAACTCCATAGTCATTTTATCCATCTCTGTGCATTCTAGAATTTTCCTAATTACTGTTTCGTCTGAGGGTACACTGTTTTGTTTCCAATTTTTTGCTAATGTGATTCTTGCTGCGGTGAGTATGTGTAGTGTAATGTATTGAAGGTTTTTGTTCATTTTCGGGTTCAGTATTCCTAATAAATGCAGTTCAGGTTTCAAATCTATTTTTTGCTTTGTAATTTCTTCCAACCATTTTTGAATTTTACACCAATACTTCCTTGTGATGGGGTTTAGAGTATCTTATTTACTGGAAGATCTACTCTGAATTGAAGAACTGTGGGACATCAAAGGATGCTCATGTTCCATCAGAAATGCACAAGCCTCATTCCCACAAACCACCATCACCATTGATCAACAACGCCCCCCCCCATCCCAGTCAAAATGTTGCTTCCTGCCATTTTGGACCTTCCAAAGATAGTTGCAAGAGGAGAAAGGGTATTTTCTACATCTGGCTTCTTTTTCTCTGCCAGACTTGTCTATTGACTTTGGAACATGACTTAAAGAAACTAGGGCTGGCCTTAGGGGTGAGAAAAGTATGAGTAAGCCATGAAGGGCGACTTTCAGAAAAGAATCTGCAATCAGATGAAGAAGGAAGCCTGAGAATAAAACTCAAAATAACCCTACCATGATTTTGTTTGGTATAAGATGGAGTAGAGAGAATTTTTTGTCAAGCTTTCAGGGTTCTGTTATTCTACCCTACAACAAGAAAAAAAAAAGTCTTTTAGGCATCTCTTGACTTTACCTGTTTCAAAGGACTGACACTTCCTTCCCTCAAATATAGATTTGTAAAAAAAATAAGAACTAAATAAAAGCCTTGATAATACTTTTCTTTTCTCCCACTCTATCAGGTTTTTCACCAGCCAAAATGGGTTTCTATCAAACCCAGGTAGATTTCTGATACCATTTCCCTCCTTATATTACTCATATTTAAGTGCTTTTTCCTGCTTCATTGTCTTTGTATTTTAGGCTAGAATATTTAGAATTAGCCTGCAAAATCAGTCACTAGGACACCAGCATGCCAACAAAGCCATTATTTTCTCTGTAAAATGAATTATTACATTCTTTATGCTTTTTTTTTTTTTTGGTAGAAAACAGACTTTTTGTATATTTATTTTTATACTTATATGATTTTATTTCTTCCCATTGTTTAGGAATATGAATGTTTTTCAAGTAACGATTTTTCATACTTTCACAGCTTTAAATATGAACTAATTTTCTCCATATTAACAAGTCAGTGATAGTTATTTCCCACTTAGCAAAGCCAACAATGCATAAATCTACAGTGTTGATGACAGACTTTAATTAAAAGTTCCTATGGACAAGCTTTTTTATAATAGAATAGAATTCTTTATTGGCCAAGTGTGATTGGACACACAAGGAATTTGTCTTTGGTGCATATGCTCTCAGTGTACATAAAAGAAAAGATACATTCGTCAAGAATCATAAGGTACAACACTTAATGATAGTCATAGGGAGCAAATAAGCAATCAAATCATATTAGGAAACAGTCAATATAAATCTTAAGGATACCAGCAACAAGGTTACAGTCATACAGTCATAAGTGGGAGGAGATGGGTGATAGGAACGATGAGAAGATTAATAGTAGTGTAGACTTAGTAACTAGTTTGACAGTGTTGAGGAAATTATTTGTTTAGCAGAGTGATGGCGTTCATGGAAAAAACTGTTCTTGTGTCTAGTTGTTCTGGTGTGCAGTGCTCTATAGCGTCATTTTGAGGGTAGGAGTTGAAACAGTTTCTGTCCAGGATGTGAGGGGTCTGTAAATATTGCTTCTAGCAATAGATGCATAATATAAAAGTTTGCAGGCATGTGGGGAGAGAAGTTCTTCAGCAACGGGGTCTATCTAAATTACAAAACAGGCTAATCGTTTCAGAGATTTCTAAGTAAGTGGAAAAATCATCACCATCCCTATAGCTAAATTCCCTATATTATACAAAGTTTAGATGACAAATCCGTTTTTGCACTACCGACAGTAAATGTTGCAAAAAAAAAAAAAAAAACTTTCACAAATCTAATTATAATTGTGCTATCACAATAACATTCTAGCAAATCGCATGTGCCATTGCTACCAGATGCTACAGATTATTAGAGCTGAAATGAATAGTGGCTTTTCAATTTGAAAATAGTTGTGGCTTTTTTTCTCCCCCAAACTCCAAAATTCATATGAATATGTCTCTCCTTTGAGAATTTTTAAGAAGTCGTGTACATTTGCCAGAAGATAGTGCCTTGAGCTGTGTATAGTTACCTTCAGCAATATTTCCTGAGGTTTAAAAATTATAATAGGCATCTATGAGAGACAGTTGTCAAATGCAGGAAGGCAGTTTCAGGTTAAGACTGCAAGTCATGGCAGGTATTGATCTTTGGATAATGGAATGGGCCCATTCAATCTGTTGGCCTTATCTATTGTGGTCCGCCAGCAGCCCTCGGAGCTGGCAGCAGAGTCAGACAGTGAGGAGGCTGGGGAGGAACATGGACCAGTCCTGGAGTCTGGGGAAGGCTTGGACGAAGGCTCTGCGTCGGAGGCAGAGATGGAGCCAGGGCCATCTGAGAGTGATGCGTGGACTCGGGAGCCTCCAGTGTCAGACAGCAGAGAGGCAAAAGAACAGGAGGAACCTGTTCCTAGTGCACGCATGCGCAGAGCTGTCAGAAGGCAAGAGCAGCTAAAGCAAAAGGGATGACTCGGGAGTAAGGCCAGGAGATGATTGGCCCCTCCCATAAGGCTTAAAAGAGCAGCAAAGGCTCTTGGACTCTTTGTAGGAAAGCAAAGTTGCTAAATCTGTTTCTAGTCAGTGTGTCTTGTTTCTGAACTTCATGGGGCTTTGCCAAGAAAGGCCTTTGGCAGGGTGCCAAAGAAGATAAAGATTTGTGATAAACACGACAGACTTTTTCTGAAGGACTTGTTTTGGAATTAATTTGGACTAAGCTGGGAATTCTCAGCTGTTATAATAAAATAGGTTTGTTTAAGACTAATTGTGTCTTGTAATGACTAAGTGAGCCTAGGTCACAACATTATCCTAAAGGCAGTGTTCTGACCCAGCTCCCCAAACACGGCAAA